AAAAAAATAAGAGAGAGAGAGAGAGAGAGAGAGAGAGAGAGAGAGAGAGAGAGAAAGAGTAGAAGAAAAGGAGAGAAAGAGAATACTGGTAAACTGGACGGTGGTCGAGGGTTCAACTGAACGACGACCATAAAAGCTTGATTAATTAGCCATGCCGTGCCGACGAAGCTTTCGTGACGTTACCCCGCCCAATCGAATGTTGCTGCACTGTTGGCGTCTCTCCCCATAATTCTTCTAACTACTATTTTGCGTAAACAAAAATTCAAAGGGATAGAGAAGGCTACGTTATTAAAGAAAAAATTCAGCTATTTAAATTATCCTAAAAAAAAACAAACATTAATACTATTTTATAATTTAGACAAGAAAAGTAGATGAAATATGGGCAAAGTTATATATATAATAATAACTCATAATTATATATATATAAATAATAAACAAATTTAAGAAAATAGTTATCTTTACTATAATTGCATTTACTAAATAAGAATGTATATTTTATTTACCATTTATAGCTTATATATTAATATTATTATATTAATATTAGAAAAAAAATTTATAGTACAATTCACAATTTATGGTACAATTCTTTTTATGTTTGAGAAAACTGTATATATGAAGTTATTATTATATATATAATATTATAGCAATAACCATAAAAATGGAACTCTTAACCTAATTATTTTATCTTGCAATTATAGGAACAAATGCCAAACACTTTTCCCTGAGTAAATTTCATAAAATATTATACATATTATAGTAATAAATATTTTTTTGTCAAATTTAATTATTGTTAAATTTATTACTGCTAAAGTTATATGTCATCACTTGTGAAGATCGACGCATAAATCTAGATCATACAAATCGCTTGTTTCGAGCTATACAAAGTTAATCTCTTGAAAAGTGGATAAGATTCTATGTCTCTCTCGTCACAGGAAGCAGCACATCGGCGTGTTACTTTATGTAAATGTTCGGCGAATACACGTAGAGGCACGTGTCCACGGGGACCAGCCGGCAAATTGAGATTCACGCGTCTACCGACTTCGCTGGCCGACATACGATCGATGTTTCCATCCACGTGCGCACCTCTGCATTCTGGTTTGCCTCACTCGATGAAGGAAAGTACAGAAGCCCCTCTCCCACCTTTCGTTCGACCTCTTCATATTTTTATCTTTTTATTTTTTGTCCTGTCAACGTGATGAATCGCGCCAGATTTAATTCGGTGCGGTTACCGTGCGAAGAAAATCACTCTAAATTAATTGCACTTATCGCGGATTAATTGTACTTCGTCACGCGTAGCGAGTATTAACGCCTCCTAATTAAGGTCTTCATAGATAATGTATTTGTGATTTATTCAGTTGCATGACGGAACTTGACGGACGCAAAATATCAGTTTTGTTAATCTGAGCTCCGCTTGTCGAAAGTGATATAATATAAGCCAAAATTGTCGTGCCATCAAATTTGCATGAACAAGATATTTGCAGAACATTTACATAAGCATTTAATTTTTCACAATTTTTATTCTAAATGATCAATAGTAATAATTCGTAATTTAGTGAAGCTGTATATTTCCAAACTGATAAATCGAATTGCAGGAACTTTTGTTGACGGCAAGTTACTTTGAGAACCTTAAAATTTGAAATTACTCAGTTCCTCCCCTGAAGATTGATAGCTATGGGTTGCCATTCGCGCGGAAATTTATAACTTCTGCGTATATACCGGTTTCTATACATGAACTGAAGGCGTTATATGATTTCTACTAAAGCTGCATTTCAAATCTATAAAGTTCAAAGTCGCAAGATTGCACGTAAAAATTTATGGTAACGTCCAAACTTCCAACCAAAAATTTATAACTTTTGATAAACATGCGTGTACATGCGTAAGTAGATTCTAAAACTTGATAACTTTGATAATTTTATATTTGTGCGTCAAGTTTTCTCTCAAATATGTATTATTACACTTACATATATTAGATTTAAACGTACAATTATTTCGTTTTAAATTAGAAACGACGAAGGCATTATAAATTTTAATTAATGTATATTTTAATTTAAAACAAGTATATTTTAATTTAATTTACAACAATAAAATTGTAAATTGTTTTGAATAATATAACAATGATTAATTTATTATTGAATAAGAAATGATCAATGAATCAAAATTTCAATGGAACCACACATATTTTTTGAAAATAATATGGAACATCCGATATGTATCAACATTTTTAATTTTACTAGATAATTTATGTAATATTATAAATAAATATAAAAAATGCAATAACACACGTTTCGATATCGATTGAATCATTCTCAATGTTAAGATGCATTCAAAAAATTATAATGTTATATAAGTTATCGGATTCTTAGATCAAAATTACAAAAAATTATAATATTACATAGGTTTAGTAAAATTAAAAATATTGATACACATATCGGATGTTCCTGTGTTCCATCTTATTTTTTAAAAAATATGTATGGTCCATTGAAATTTTGACTTGATCCTAACAGCTAAAAAATTGTTGATAAATAGATAGTTTTTTAAAGAGGAAAAGACAAGATTATCACTCTGTCAATCACATTGAGCGATTTCATTACAAATTTCAATAGACCGTACATATTTTTCGGAATATTAAATTCTTAATTTATTTTTAACTGACTTGTAGCCTTTTTATTTATTTATATTGATTTATTCTAAGTGAGCCATATTATTAATTTATATTTTATTATTTGTACCTTTATATTTAGTTATCACATTAGTAGTTAGTTATATGCTCATGCGACTTGTATATACTTATATGTATATACTTATATGTATGGTGTAACATCTTGAACCCTTATTTTAAACTTTGAAATTGTGTAACAGTTTTTATATAAAAGAAACATTTACAACTAAATTAAAGTAGAATTGTTTAAAATTCTTGTGCTTTATATATAATATAGATATAATATAAATAATGTTTTTCAAAGAGGAAAAATGATATTACTCGTTTGTCAATCACATTGAGTGATTTCTACAATACAAATTTCAATGGACCATACATATTTTTTGAAAATAAGATGAACATCCGATATAAATCAATATTTTAAATTTTAATAGACTTATGTAATATTGCATTTTTTATCTGAGAATTGATCTAAGATAATAGATAACTTATGTAATATTGTAATTTTTAAATGTGTCTTAACATTGAGAATCCGATCGGCGTCGAAATGTTTTCTTATAATATTTCTTTATATTTATTTCGGAATATTAAATGTTCTTAATTTATTTTTAACTGTTTCCTTTAACTCGTAGTTCTTCTATTTATTTATATTGACAAATAATAAAATTGCGGAATACATTTTTAGAAGCGTAATGAAGTCACTTTGACTATGCTGTAAAATTTAATTATTATCATGTATCTGAATTGTATTTAAAAAAGTAATTACTAATCCCTATGCAAAGCTACTTTCAGTTACTGCACATAGAATGTCTTTATTAATAGAAAAATGTTAATTTTATTGTCAGTATTTACGACAGAATTGACCAACGCTATGATGTTTTAACACGACAATTATCTTTTGTAATCTTTTTATTCATATTGAAATTTTTGTATCATATTTACATTATATGTTTATTTACATTATATTTCTACTTTTATCATAGCTGCTTTACATGCAATATAAAGTATTTTAAAATACAAATATTAGATCAATTAAAGCTTTGATTTGAATTTAGTACAGGATAATTTCATATTTTAAGTAAAATATGTAAAACAATAAAAAAATGTCACTTTTTCTGAAAATTTACAAATAAAATTTCAATCTTATAGGATTATAGAACCTTATAGGATACAGAATTACACTAAATATTGCTCATAACTATATTCTCATTCAATCTGATAAATAGAATTTATCAGAATTTCTTGATTAAATTATAGTCTGTGAACGTTATTGAATTTAATTGCAAATAGTAAAAAAAATTACTGCGCTACAAATAAATCGTATAATGTATGATTATTCCTTTCCACAACATCTCAAAGTAAAATATCTTTATGATATTGACAAATTTATTCATTAAATCAATTACTCATCAACTCATAAAAAGAGCTGCAGAAACTTGCCAATTGAATCATAGATTTAGTTATCAGTACTCGAAAAAAGCGAAACTTAGTTTGGTCGTTGTACGCTGAGGAACTCAGAGTAAGCAGTTATACAACGAAGGTGTGACGTGGTCCTTCCTAAAAGTTTATAACTTTATTACGAATATTCTAAGAGGCCTGGAAAGAATTCTCTGATGCGAAAGTTTGACAACTTTTCACATTCTTGGCGCGTATTTTAACTTTCTCTTCTTGACTTCTGTTCGCGGCAAATTCCGTGCCTCTCAATTTCTTCCTTAGATTTGTCGTATTCTATTCTATTCTTTTAG